ATTAAGATTTTAATTATTCTTGCTATATAGCTGCAATTTGAGACAGGGAGAAATATATATCCAATTGAAAGCAATTATTATTGGGTATGACCAACAAAACTAAGAAAAAATGAAATAATTAGAAAGAATGGCAGGCAGATGTATCGGGTTTCTTTAATATTAAATAACGTTGGTTTTGTGATAGACATGTCCTCGAGTTTTACATGTATTACATTCTTATGATGTGAATATCCACATATAAGATTTACTATTTATTGAAGAATTAAGATTAAAAAAAGTTTTGAAAATAACATTACACAAAATGGTAAGTTGGTTTACCTACTGTAAAGCATTTCAGATGGATCATACATACATATATATTATTTCTTCTAAATTTAAAATCCACAGGAAAACTACTTTTGGAGCTATATCCTTCGGAAAATTCGGAAAGTTCCGTAACCATAAATCCAATTCACAAAAAGGTATTAGGACTACTCAATTAACTGTTCAACATATGCACAATCTTAACTAAAAGGGCAGAGTACCTCACTTGGGGTTTATTGTATTAGTGCGAAAAATTCACGAACCATAAAAAGATTATAAAATAATATATGGGATGAGAACTACAAGAGTGTTAGCTCATGATTGATGACAGTTTCCAATTTTGCGACATAGCGAGTTAGCGTAATAAATAAGGATAGTGCTCGACGATACTTTTAGAACTGATAAACAAGTCTCCATAACAGAAATTTAAGTCTTAAATCTGAAAAATTCATTCAATATTCTATATCTTAAAAAAAAAAAACAAATAATATGTTTATATAGGATGGTTACAACCAACCCTAACAAGACTCTAATTAAACAAGGAAATAAAATTCTACTTAAACACGAAAACTAATTAAAACAAGAAATCTCAACTGTTGACTAATTATAAAATAAGAAAGTAAAATTTAACTAAATTAAAACTTCATAAATCAACTAAACTCCTAATTTAACACTATTTTCCTTACATCATACTCTCCCTCTTAAAAATAAACTTGTCCTCGAGTTTCAATCTGGTGAGTGATACTTGAAATAGAGTAATAAGTCCTCATTTGGAGCAAATAGATAACCTTTGTCATTGATCTTCCTAGGAGCATTGTAATCCACTATATATAGTCTTCAAGTCACAATCGAATGTCATCGATGTTTCATCCTTTTGATCCTTAACTTGAATGTGTTCTTCTTGCTCAAGTTTCTCCTTTATGACAACTTACTTTTGCTCAAGCTTCTCCTTTAGGATTGTTTGCTTTTGCTCTAGTTCAATATTCTCTTCTTGGAGAACTCGTTCAACTTCAAGTCATGCTCAATCTCCTATGATGTGTGATCCTCAATTTGTAACATCTCATGATCTTCGTTGGCTTTAGGAAGTACTTTATGCTTCTTATCTTCTTCCATAACTGGTGAGCCATGTATTCTCTGAAGAAGAATTCATTTTTTAATTCTTAATTGTGATTCTACATCAAAGGCTAATTGAGGAACATCAAGCAATGTATGGTCAGGTCGTAAATCAATTTGAGCTCGTATGTTTACATTCAACCCATTAAAAAATCTTAAAGCTACTCTATATGGATGTTCATTATAGTCAAGGCGGAGTAACAACCATCGATATTCAACAATATATTTTCGGACAGATCTCTGACCTTGATGGCATCTCTGGTACTGCTAGAACAAGATCTGCTCATAATCAAGAGGAAGAAAATTCCTTTGTAACAAATGTTTCATCCTATACCAGTTTCTAACTGGTGTTTTCCCCTCGCGAAATCTTATGGATTATAATCTTTCCCACCATGCAGAAGCTCCTCCCTTCAACCTACATGCGACCAGTTTCACCCTTCTCCCCTCTAGGATCTCCATATATTAAAAAAAACCTATCTACTTTTGCCATCCAATCCAAAAATTCCTCAATATCTAAATTTCCTCAAAAGCAAGGGATATCTATCTTTAATCCGAATTTGTTGGATTCTTTGTCACCATACTGATTTATGTCATACCCCATGTTCCTTTCAGGTTCTTCATAATAACCATCTTCTTCGTCTGACTCTTCCACATAAACTGGCTATCTACGTCTATTTGCAAAAACAGGTCTGCCAATAGGCCGTCTGTGAGCGGCATCATCCTCGATATGTTGCCTTTCAACATCCCCATTTCTATTGGCATCTACGCTCAAAGCATCAAGTCGATCTGCAATTTCTTCAAAGTGTCATTCCAAACGCTAGAATCTGAGATTTATTCGTTGCTCCAAAGCTCTCAACGCCCCTTACGAGGTCTCAGCTCCCTGATCTTCATCATGAGAATGGTTGCCGCCACCTACAACTTCATCACTTGCCATTAGATCAGACGAATTTTGCCTCCTCTGATACCAACTGACGCAGCAAGTTAGCCTGATAAAATAAGGATAGTGCTCGACTATAATTTTAGAACTGATAAACAAGTCTCCATCACATAAACTTAAGCCTTAAATCTGAAAAATTCATTCAATATTGTATATCTTCAAAAGAAACACATAATATGTTTATATAGGGTGGTTACAGCCAACCCTAACAAGACTCTAATTAAACAAGGAAATAAAATTCTACTTAAACACAAAAACTAATTAAAATAAGAAATCTCAACTGTTGACTAATTATAAAATAGAAAAGTAAAATTTAACTAAATTAAAACTTCCTAAATAAACTAAACTCCTAATTTAACAATATTTTCCCTACATCATTTTGGTTAGGCCATACTTTAAAAAAAAAAAAAAAAATGATCATCGGAGTTGTTTAGGTCACCACTTGCACTTTAACTAATCTCCCAGACTGAAATTACTAACCGAGTAAAAGCTCTAGTGGCTACCNTCCACATAAACTGGCTATCTACGTCTATTTGCAAAAACAGGTCTGCCAATAGGCCATCCATGAGCGGCATCATCCTCGATATGTTGCCTTTCAACATCCCCATTTCTATTGGCATCTACGCTCAAAGCATCAAGTCGATCTGCAATTTCTTCAAAGTGTCATTCCAAACGCTAGAATCTGAGATTTATTCGTTGCTCCAAAGCTCTCAACGCCCCTTACGAGGTCTCAGCTCCCTGATCTTCATCATGAGAATGGTTGCCGCCACCTACAACTTCATCACTTGCCATTAGATCAGACGAATTTTGCCTCCTCTGATACCAACTGACGCAGCAAGTTAGCCTGATAAAATAAGGATAGTGCTCGACTATAATTTTAGAACTGATAAACAAGTCTCCATCACATAAACTTAAGCCTTAAATCTGAAAAATTCATTCAATATTGTATATCTTCAAAAGAAACACATAATATGTTTATATAGGGTGGTTACAGCCAACCCTAACAAGACTCTAATTAAACAAGGAAATAAAATTCTACTTAAACACAAAAACTAATTAAAATAAGAAATCTCAACTGTTGACTAATTATAAAATAGAAAAGTAAAATTTAACTAAATTAAAACTTCCTAAATAAACTAAACTCCTAATTTAACAATATTTTCCCTACATCATTTTGGTTAGGCCATACTTTAAAAAAAAAAAAAAAAATGATCATCGGAGTTGTTTAGGTCACCACTTGCACTTTAACTAATCTCCCAGACTGAAATTACTAACCGAGTAAAAGCTCTAGTGGCTACCCCTATTAGCAGTCAAAGAAAGACTCAAATTCAAAGCCTCTTGAATAATACACCTAATAGTCACTCTCAAACCACTCGATCACCTATACTTTTAAATTTTACATGCTAGATTAAGGCACCACGTTTTTTAAAAAAAAAAAAAGTATAAATTTTAAAACTAATTAAAGAGGGGAAAAAAAAAAAGGAAAATTGAGAGAGTAAACAATTTGTAACTTATAAACTGAAGAAAAAGGGCCTCATTCACTTTGATGCTCTCAGAATATATAAATTATAAACCTCAGTCTCAGTGATTCATAGTGACAGTGATGATGACATAAGAATATAACACATGCGAAAATATTTGGAACAATTATCCAACAAAAACTTTAATCATCATTATCACAAGGGCATACAATGGCAATTGGGGGATAACAAATGCTTTTCCTCAAATTAATATTATAATCTAAAAGAAGAAAACTATTCAATCTTGGAGCAAGAGTCACCTCTGTCACCTAATTAAGTCCCACCTTCTTTTAAAAGTTCTTCTGGCCGATTATGGACAGCGGATCCCCCATTCTGTCAACAGATTAATTTGTCTTCCAAGTAAACTTTTCATCAAATTTTATAGATCTGACCATCATGCTCTCATTCAGTGTGAAGCTGTCAACTATTATATATACATATGGTAGGGAGGGCTAGATTGTCTGCAATTGAACCTTCCCGCTGGTCAAGGTGATAGAGAGGAGCCATGCTGCAAAGGAAGAAGCTGCCATGGCTTGACCAAACATCTGGGGGCTATTAAATGCCCTAGCTCAGAGATACATTGTATGCTCCACCTTCAAGGAAATTGAATATAAAGAGAATGTCTTTTACAATCTATTTTAATTATTACCTTTTATTTTAGTAATCTATGGCTTTACACATACAATTAATATCATTTCTTTGCCAAGTTCTGGTGTGTCAATATATAATATATCTTGCTCAATCCATAAGAGTCGAATGATTTAATAACTTAAAACGTAGAGACAAATTTCGAGTTTTCCCCTCTATTATATAAACTAACATGAATATTTTATAGTATGTTTGTAACAGCAAGTATTTGATATAACTATATCTTTTGAGACATAATAAACTAATAGATATCTGTTTTATCTATATCTTTTGAGACATAATAAACTAATAGATATCTGTTTTATTAAATATATATAAAAGTAAATTAATTTTAGTTATATCCTTAAAAAAAGAATAAAAAGAAATACCTCGACTAACCAACAGTTCTAAAATATATATGTACTACAATTCGAAGACAGAGCTGATCTCCCCTCAGAATCATCATAAAAAAGTTAGACAAATAACTGGTTTTAAATATGAAGAAATATGATTACTGACCATATTTCTCTTCTGACATTTTACTGATCTTTTAAATGACCTTACATTTATGCAAATTTTCAGTCACTTTACCAAACCTATTTTGACATACAAAAATCTAAAACCATCTGTAAAAGTAGGTCCTAGAATGATCTTCCCTGAAACCTAATACGACAGTCTCTATTTCTTCCTCTGAGTAGCTCATGACAGACGTGGAAGTTCTTGATCAGCAAAACCCAAAAACTTTTTATCTGATGAACGCCCAATCCTATCCACAAAAATATATTTTTTTAATATTTTCCAAGTCTAATCTATCATATCATATAAATGGTAAAAATTCCAACCCAAAAACAAAAAAAATAATGCAAAAACAAAAATCTAGATCATCATCAACAATATATAATTATATTGGTGACCAGAAAACAATTGAATAATAAGCTGATAATCTTTTTATTGGAAACTGAAACAAAGCGAAACAAAGAAAAGTTATAATTAATATACATTGAAAACCATGTTGCTCTTCTTCTCAATCCTTCTTTCTATCTTCTTTGAAGGCCCTATCTTTAAATAACACAAAAAAAAGGAACTTAAAAAGATTCACAAACGTACAGTCTTCCTACCTTCAAATTACAAATAGAACTTGTAGTTCAATCTAGAAAGGTGGGCGCGTGTGAGCCCAACCATAAGCCTCGTGTAGCTGACCGCCATTTGGTAGTAGATTTGGTGGCAGATTATAAACAGGCATTTGTGAAGGATCATGAAGAGGAGTGTGAGTGTGTTGGCCACTGCTACCAATTTGCGGAGTCGAATTATCAGCAGCCCCTTGGATCTGTCCTTGACCACCAGTCTCTTCCTCATCTTCTAGAGGCAATCTCTCGTACGTGGCATTTGCAAACGTGGCAGCTATGACCATCACAGGGCCAGCTGCCACCAGTTGCCCCACCACAGTCCCTCCCACCACGTGACCCTGTCCGCCCGCTAAGTACACCGTTAGCCCAGTTGAGCCTGGAGGAGCTGGTCCGGGCAAAAACGCCCCGGTCAACGAGAGAATTTCAAACCTACCAGGCAGTGCCATCACGGCACCGGGTGATGCTGGTTGCCTCAGTGTCACGTTGGCCACGGAGCCACTGCCACTAAGCACACAGACGCCACGCTGTCGCCTTCTTGCGAATTGGGCTACACATTCTACCACATCAGCACCACCACCCACCTCCATGACATGGCTGCGGAGAGAATTAGGGCTGTCCCTGGTTACGAAAATTGGTGGTTTGGGTTTGTTTTTTGATCCGGGAGGCCTGCCTCGGGGTCTTCGGTTGCCAATTTCAACTGCTCCCTCTCTGGGTTCATCGCCAGTGTCTCTGTCTTCATCTTCATTGCTTTGGTCATTACTGGTTTCGTTTACAGAGATTTCAAGGTCACGTTTGTGTAGAATCGGTGAATTTGCAGCCGGGTCCATTCCCGGCATGCCCACTTGATTGGTCCACCAAGGGTTAGCCATTTTTGCTAATTGTGGTAAAAGAACAAATAAGAGAAGAGGATGATCGATCAAAGAATTAAATACCCTTTAAGGGTTGCGTGTTTGTTTATATTTTGTGTTCTTTGCAAGTTGAGGGTTTGAGATCAGAAAGTCAAACTAGAGCTAAACAAGAAAAAGAAGATTAGGTTTGAAACTATGGATTGTTTCTTATATGCTACTGTGGCTCAACCTTCACAGACTTAATGAGAGAGAAGGTAGAAGCTGGTTAGAGTCGAGATCGAGTACTGAAGAAAGAGAGGTAGTAAGAAGAGAGAATTAGATGCAATTGGTAATGGAATCAAGTAAAGGAGAAGAGAAAAAAAAAGGAGGTCTTTAATTTTCAAGATGAAGAAGAATCTGAAAGATCAATGACCCAGAAGTGATCTCAATGAAGAGAACAAATTAAGAACAGATGCAAAACCCTCGATAGAATCAATTAAGAGAGCACCCACACTTTGAGACAGGTAGACAATAAACAAATGCAGTGTGAGAGAAATTTTACAGTTTTTAAAACAGCATACTCAAAACACAACAATCAATCAAATGTTTTTTTTCCTTTCTTTCTTTCAAAGCTAGCTGTGTTGTGTTGTGTTGTGTTGTGATTTGGGGAGTAAGTATTTCTTTTTTATTTAGATAGTGTACATACCTGAAAATCAAGTTATAAATACAAATATAAGCTCTTCTTTTAGAGGTCTTTGAAATTAGGGTTTCGTGGGGTCGCGTGCGAGTGGGAAGTTGGGAAGCACGTCGTTTGCTCGTGCCCCAACATATGAATATAACAGAGAAAGAGAGAGCTAAATTAAATTGAATTGGATTTGGGGCCATAAATAGTATTACTGCTCATAGCCTTTCAGTGTCTCAGTTTTTTTTTTTTATTATTTTTATTTTATTTTAACAATAGTGTGTTCGAATAATTTATGTATACTTAAACTAATTTTTCAAGATCCTAAAATTAACAATCGATTAAAAATTCTAATGATTACCCTTATTAACAATCGAGGTGGAACTTAAACTCAAGACTTCTTTAATAATATACCCAAGAATCCCTATTAAATCACTCGATCAACCAAAAATAGTTCAATGTCCCGGTTAAATTGCCCATATCCTTGAATTTATTCTCAAAATTCTCGGGTTAGCATGATGTCTTGTCGAACAACTCTAATTACACACCGTGAACTTAATCATATAATTAATGAACCCCTTTTACCTACTAACTAATTGTCTCACTCATTGTGCAAGTTGTAAGAATTTGAAGAGCAGGTTGTGAAACATTTCAAGTTCATCTGTTTCTTATGTAAGAATGTCAAATTAGTTGGAGAAGGGATTCGTGGCAACACGCATTAGCAGACAGCATGAAGGTGTTGTTTTTTCCGGTAGAAGAAGTAGGTTTCAAGCTGTCGATCACATGAAGATGTTCAAGACGGTGGTTAGTAATGATATCAAATCACGATTAATGCTGGTAACTAATGATGGTAATAATGCAAGGATCGTATCAAACCACAAAAAATTAGATATAAATAAGTAAATAAATGGTAGTGAAATTTTTTTTATATAAATGTAATGCCATAATGGTAAACAGTATATATATTTTTTTGGGTCAAAATTGCACAAATTTATGTAGACAAATCTTATTTAATGATATATGATTTACTAGAGGATAGTTTTAAAAGGATTCATTGTGCACGTGAGGAAATTAAATATCTAAAATAATAATAAAAATAACTTTATTAATATATATATATATATGTACACACTGGTAAGAAGTATTATTATATATATAGGAAAAGAGTATTTTATATATATAGGAAAAGAGTTGTAAAGCTGTCCTTTCTGACTATTAAAAGAGAAATAGTGAAGTTAAGGGGATTAAATATTTGATTAGGCCAGTTGTCAGCCCAGGCAAATTTTAGTTGAATATTAAATCGCAGTTGAAGTATATTAAAATCAAGTGTTGCTTTGATCAAATGTAATTAATTAGCTGAGTTACAGGATAGAATAATATATCCCTAATTAATTAGTTTTATAGAGAGAGAACACATGAATATTTTTATAGGTAAAGCTAAAATACTTCAAATTCCAAATAAAATTAGGGAAAAGGCACTGATTCATCGCCTTCAATCTAGTCTTGTTGTAAGACTGTGTATACCAAATTAAGATCAAGTATGGTTTTGGAGCATCCAAGACCAGCAATTCTTGTTTTGATCAGAGATGCGACAATTAATTGAAATTGGAATTCAGTGACCACTTCTTTGGTACTTAGCTAGTCTTGAAAGAGGTTCAAAGAAAGAATTTATTTCCAACAATTTGAACCTCCTTTTGTTGTGCATATGCAACTCATTTGATAAATTATTTAATGGTAATTTGTGTCTCTGTTATAAACAAATATAAGAGCATGATATTCTTGAAAGTAATTATAGTACCAGATATAGGCCGGCAGTTGTTCCATTTGTCTCCCGACGGATGATTATATTAATGTATGCGATTAATATATTTCAATTTCAATTTACAAAACATATGGATAGGTCAATTTGAATGGTCAATGCAATGTGCAGTGAATTTGTAACAACAAAAGGAAACATATATTGGAAAATTTTGGACAAATAGCTCACTAATAATGTTACATCAAATAATATGGTATACATTCCAAATAATTTCTTTAATTTCTTATTCTATGTATTATTTTATATAACACTGATATGTTCAAGATGAGAATTTTATAAATGATACGATAAGACATAATAGAACACTAAAGATTAAAAATTTGAAATAGCACTTAAAATGTATCGTTTTTTTTTTTTTTTTACTGATCGAGGTGTTCAAGCTAATTTATGCACACCTTAACTAATCTTTCGGGATCTTGAAGTTAACGATCGAGTAAACTCTTTAGTGACCATCTCTCTTAAAAATTGAGGGGAATCGAACTTAAGATCTCTTGAATAATATACTCAAGAATCTCTATTGTCTTATCCAATCACCCAAAGGTGATTATTGTATAATATTACTTATTCACCTGTTCATACCCGTTCATATCTAAAGAATATTCACATTTTAGTAACAAGATAGGTTTATAATCAATTTGAAAACATAATTGGGTAAGACCAAGGAACTTACATCAGAGTTATCAATTAAATTTACAAGCAAATAAAGTTGTAAAGCAGAAAAAAGATACCAAAAGATATCCTGACAGAGACTTAGTGAAATCCAACGAAGGAGCAATATATGAGATTGAGAGTCAGCATCAATACATTGTGGACCGTCCAAGTTGCGTTGTCTTTAAATAAATGTTTATTATATATGTCAACTTAATTTGATTGAACAAGTTAAGGATTCGGCAGTTAGTCAAATCTCCACGGAGATGGAGGGCTCTAATCAATCCCAGAAAAGCGGTTGTAACATGAAAGTTGATAATCCTTTATTTTGACAGAATGAATTGCACCTGTAAAGTGTTAAACAGATTTAAAAATTACATGCAATATGAAAATACATAACGATAAAATAGATAATTTTTAAAGTGGTTCAGATGTCAAAAAACGAATCCTACGTTCACTATATATGTATTAATGGATGGTTATAATCAGGTCGCGTAAAACGAACTGAGTTACAGTCTAGAGAGAATTGAAATACAGAGAGAGAGAGTCTGTTTTCGAAAACTAAAAATAAGCGAATCCTGCAAATAAGAGAGAAACCCTCTATTTATAGTCGAGAGATTCAAGGTAGTAATCATGATTCTGTAGTTGGGCAGGTGTGGTACAATTTCTAACTTGCTTCCCATTGATTGTTTGCACAAGAGATATCCTTAAATTACGTAAGGCTTGGACAAGTGGACAATTCCTAGCCACTCACAAGCCAGACTTTCACCTGCCACACTGACAACAGCCTTACCTCTTCCGTCCTTGCACAACATGACAGCGTCTAGATGACACAAAATATTCATGAACTCTGATTGACCTGACATGCGCTTACGTCAACCCTTATTCTTTAGGCATAATAGAAGTTATTTGCGGCTATCCTTGCAGGACTCAATTTTTTATGTTTAATTGGGTGGCTGTGAGTGACACATAACGGATTATCTGAATTGCAGATATCTCCTGTGTAAACTACTGACATGATTTCTCACTTCCAAACAAATTCTTAAACCCAGTTGTATGGTTCATTGATTAGAATCCACAGTTCATCAACAGACTTACAAAAAGTTTTATCGTAAAGTTTTTTTATTGAATTTTCTGTGTGATTAGCCATCGAGTTGACGAATTGTCATGGGTTGGTTAAGATCCTTCTGCTTCAGGTTGGCTTCAAATCTTGTGAAATTACCAGGTCATCTTTTGACTAACTGCCGGCCCTCCTTAGGATTTGTTATTTTGATGCTTTAAACAAGTAAATCCTCAACAATTAATTAATTAATTCAGGAGTCATGAGTGGAAATGATGTAATTAAGGGTTAGAGGTTAATTAATGTATATAAGCAAACCTTAAAGATAGAAAACTATGATTGCCAGCTTGAAAACATTACTGTATTAATTTTGTGAGGACCAGAAAAGAATCGATATGGGATTAAAGTAAACCTTAAACTTAAAGATAGAAATCTATGATTGCCAGTTTGAAAACATTATTGTATTCATTTTGTGAGGACCGGGAAAGAATGGATATGGGATTAAGTAAACTCGACATGGTCACCAGCTCAGGTAACAGAATAGCTGAGGTTAGGTTACAGATACAACATGCAGGTCACTTGTTTGATCATCACATATTATGTTCCCCGCCCTTCTCTTTTAGGTATGTCAATAAGAGTAATACAATTCACTTGTACACCAATCTTCGCATTTCAAATCTTTTTGTAATCCTGATTTTTAAATTGTTTCAGCATCTTATGTTACCATTCTATACAAAAATTTATACAAGTCTAGAAAGACTAGTATTACGTTACAAAATATTTACGTAAAATTTGAGAATTTTAGACAATATTATTGAATAAATTCTATTGATCTTTATATCGAATATTGTTTTAAAACCCAACCCGGCCCCGCCAGTTGGACCGGTTCGATCGAGATCCAGCCAGTGAGCCAGGCCAAGAGAGCCTAAAAACCGAGGGGGCTATTTCACCCAGATTCACCCGGGGTTGGACTGGGGGTACTGTAGCAACTCATCGGTTCAATCGGTTTTTGGAAAAAACAGATTGAATCAAAATGCAAACAAAGGGCAACTTTCGGCCGACGTTCAAAAGGCAAACATGAATCGGGGTTAGGGGGTTTTGAAA